TCACGCTTGCAAAGTAATAATAATAATAGTCAATGTTCTTAGTGTTTTAAACAGGTTATTTATTTATTTGACAGGTTCAATTAAAGTTTTCTTTCATCAGTGACATATAACTAGGAAGAGAAATATACAAAAAAGCAAACAGACAAACTAGTTTTTTTTTATCTTTGATGCTTGACATTAACATACTGTCACTTTTCACATTTATACACATCTATATACATGAATGTGTAATATAAGTAGTTTAAAGTCTCACTATATCAAATGCTTTGTGGAATAAAGTGATTTCAAAAGAATTAGTAGGATGGATAAGATTACATATGATTTTGTGTGAGCATAGATGATGGTTAACTTTGAGGAAATGTTCGTTTACAAACACTCACGCACACATAGGACTCAATATATTCTCATATATGAAGATTTATATGGTTTCTGTTTTAAACTTAAATGACCTGCGCATAGTTAAATTAATTAGACAAATGTTCTCTTCCGCTTATTATCTACTCTATAATAGTAAATCGTTATTATTATTATTATTATTCTTAGTATTGGTATTATGTACACAAATGAGAATGGTTCACACCTTAATTTCTACTATGCGTGCAGAAATTTATTACTGGCACAATAAATGATTTTTCCAAAAAAATAAAAGAGTAAGAAAGAGTATGTTGACCTTGTCTCCTCTTACAAACAGATAATAAATGATCAAAATTATATGTATGCTTCACGAACCAACGTGCATTGAAAATTCATATAATGGTGCCACAAAAATAATCTATTCCTTTGAACATTAAAAAAAGCAGTTTTCGCTGATAATTAAGTTAGCGAACTCGACACTGAACAAAACCTAAGGCTTCTGTTAAGTAAACACCTCACACCAAAAGAAATGCTTTGGAATGTTGAAATCCTTAACTATGCCTTTTCGCTGTACTCTAAAGTGAGCACACTTAGATAAAAAAAACGGAGGTAATCAAAAAACCACAGAAGGTATCCAGCAGTTAGTTGTATCCACATGTATATGTATGTACAAGTGTATATATATATATATATATATATATATATATATATATATATATATATATATATATATATATATATATATCAAACATTGGTGAGTCTGTCTTAGCCAAAGAAGTTGCTTAAAAGAATCTGAAACTTCTCGAAGAAAAATAAAGTTAGTCATCAGTTCGTCACTAACTTATTTAACTGCTGACACGGGTCTTTCTGGAGGTGAAACTGCTTATTTCTGCACCCATATTGAATGCTCAGAACTGAGTTTATGTTATCCACTAAATGTGAATATTACAAATGATTAAGTCATGTGTAACTGAAGCACTCAGACTCCTTCAGAATTGTAATGAGACACTCCGTAAATTACTTTTAGGCAACTATTAGGCGGAATCAGACTTTAAGAGATGACAGAGTGTTCAAGAATAGGACTGTTGACATTCCTAATTTCTCTTCTAAGGAACCAAGCTCGACAATATTCCAAAGTATGTCTACAGACTTTACGTTGTGTACGGCCAGCATACGTTGCTGCACTGGAACAACTAATAAATAATAGATGAACAGTGACGTCGCCAAATAAATAATCTATCCTTAACGGACTAATGGATCAGTTGTCTACTGAAGATTCAGTCTGGAGGTTCTTAGGGATTTATTCATTAATTATCATTTGACTACCTGAGATAGCCGTATTCTAGCGGTATTTATACTGGGTAATGACTGAAGGTTAGGTGAAAATGTGGGCAGCAGCCGGATTCGAACCAGAGACCACCGGGTTTCCGGTCCGATGCTCTACCAACTGACCCACGAGGTGCGACTGATTTGATTTAAGGATGGTGTTCAGTATGGAATGACACCAGTTAAAGAAACGTTGGAAACCTGGGAACACTGGACAGATGAGCTTGTCGGTGGCTAGCTTCAAGAGGTGATTCCTGAGGTTCCAATGGAAAGACGTGACCAGTGGCGCTAACCAAGTCGGATAGGAAGACAGATACTTTATGACGACATTGAATGTAGGTCACTTCATACGTTGAACTGACAGAAGTAGGAGATATGGATCACTGGACTCCGATCCAGTGGCTTAGTGACAACGCACTGGCTGCTGAACCTAAATGTCCTGGGTCCAGCCCCTGAAGGGGTCGTGGGTGCGCACGGCTGTCTCTTACTAGGACGAAACGTCTGTTCAGTTCTTCCAGATTTCCAATGTTCCTCCAACTGATGTCAGTCCATGGTGTCTACTGAACAGTTTGATTCTCAGGCTGGCTGCTTGGAATGTCTTCTTCAGCTATCTTGAGAGACGATGCTTGAGGATCTCAGCTGTAATACAGTCTACGAATGCCACGTTCATGGGGAAAGTTTTCTGTGAGACGATTGAACGATTTTGTATTTGCGACTTTTTCATGTAAGGGTCAAGGAATATAGGTAGATATAGGTTTTCTAGTAAGATGTTATGCAGAAATTTTATATCATCGTTTACTGCATCTTCTGGGTATTTCAGCACAACAAATGAAGTAGGTTCACTTTATCGTATAAGGTGAATCTTTTCTTTTGCTTACTTATGAAAAGAACATAGCTACAGAAGTTGATATATTTTCTAGTCCATGTCGGTTTTCTGTACATTGGTCTCTGGATGGAATTATCTGATCTTGTCTATAGCTTATTCAAGAATGCTTGTATCGAATTTATTTCACACTCAAGAGTGAATTGTATACATGGATGTGGAGCAGTGAAAGTATTGAAGAGGTTGTTTACGTCAATTTCTTCATCACATATGACAAAAATGTCATTGGCGTAATTTTTGTAAAACTATACTTGACTACTTTATAGATTAGGGATGCAACTTTCAATACAAGTCACGAAACAATCAGCTAGGAATGTACTGAGAAGGGAACCTATTGCTATACAATCTTTTTGCATGTACAGTTGTCAGTTGATTGATTTGTCACTGAAGAGAAATCATTTTCACTTTTTCTGGTCCTAAGTGTAGACCAATCCTGCTGGAGGTGAATCACGACTTTTATGGCACATTAGCAATGCCTTCGACTGAAGCACTGGGTGAGGCAGGTTCGTCTTTCACAGGGAACATCAATTCCTCCAAGATTACAAACAAGCCTTGCTGATGAGTGCCAATAAGCGTGAACCCTAGGTCTAAGGCTGCCTGCTGATTGCCTCCAACCAACTTATACCCATCAGTTGTCAGCTGAGATTCACGTTGATGTTAAATAGAAATCTTAGAATCAGTTAGCTTAAGTAACTGACAAGAGTGGCAATATGTAACTTGTATGTGAAGCAGGCGGCCTCACTTGATGGAGTGTTTGTAAGCAGAGAAGTAACAACAATAGAAAGCACCTATTTCTTGACCCCATATTTTACAGTAGGATCCCTTACCAGTGCAATGAATCTCATCAGCCACTTAGCAGTTAAAAGATTTGGAGTATTGATCATTTCTATGATTCACGGAAGAGGAAAATATCTTTTTGTACTTTAGGTAATCCAATTAAACTGGGGATGACTGAATTGCATGGTCTTAATTGTTCATACTAGTCCATATTACTAACTGATTTGTTCCTCATTTTTTTCAAAAGGCCTTCGTGAGATTTCCGTTAGTTCACTTGTGTCATTCTGGTTGGAAGATTTAAAACTTTGTCTCACCGTGTAGCGGGTGTGTAGTTCTATGTAGTTAGATAGACTTAGTAACACGATTCCTGATCCTCTATGTGGTCCAACAATGGTTACGTATATATTCTTCTGCATTTTTATGAGCTATCTTTTATGTTCCTTTAGTATGAGGTATATGTTGTCATTGAAGAATACCTTACTAATATTGCAATCTGATGCAGTCAGCACTACAACTTTACTCTTAGATTTATGGTCAGTTACCCCTGGTCTTATTTTCTTTTATCATGAAGTAAACGTTTAAAAAACAAGTACTTCAAACAAAATAACTTGAGTGGCTGATTGTGATCCCTACGACAAGATAAAAATCGCAAATGCCACAATCCAAAAATTTATAAACTATAAGGGAGTCAGCATTTTGTACTAAAGGCTATGCATCAATGCTTTTACAGTTAGTGCAATTTAATCAAATTGTTTATCGTTCTTAATACAAATGCTTTGTTTCACTAAACAATTTCTAAGTTATTAATTCCACCTATTTCCGTAAAAGTGGGTTGTGAAAGAGATGATAGTTAAAACATACTAAATGTGTCATTGAAGCGGTCAGTTTCAGTTTGTTTTAACTGGAGGTATCCAAAAGTAAGCAGTATAACAGTTTTATTCATATCAATTATTACTATGTAAGAACTCAAGTAAAAGAAAGGCGACACAACAAGAAATAGTATGTCTAAGTCTGTAGTAAATAAAACTTGTAAGACTTGTTTATATAATTTCTGTCACTCACAATACAGTGAATTGATAGACATAGATAAAGAATATTCTCCTACCAACTCTTGTCATTTCTTAGGAAGGATATACTGAAAGGAACTACCAGTATAAATACAGTTAACTGTATACACTGATTGGTCACGAGACAGCAACCAATTTTACGTTGTCTCGTCCTGAGTGCTGATCGGGTTCTATCGACCACTTTTGCAATGTGGCCACTAAGTGGTAATGTTGCTGCCTACAACACTGGGTGAAGCCGGTTTGAATCTCAGGTGGGATATCAGTTCCGTCGAGGTTGCAGATACGTCTTGCTGACGAGTACCAATAACCACAAAACCTAGGTCTAAGGCTTCCTACCAATTGCCTCTAACCAACTAAAAGTTAACTGTGTTTGTCACAGTTACCGGTTATTATTATTTTTTTAAATTGGTAGCATTTCATGAAAGATATAGAATGGTTAAGTGTGCCTTAATGAAATGACTTAGAGAATTCAAAATATGAGTATACTTATTTTAAATTTCCGCTAAACAATTAGAAATCTTCTAGTTAATAAAATTCGCCAACGAAATTTCGAAAGTCTAATAAATTTCATATCTTTTCCTTTTTGCTTTCAGGTATGGTTTCAGAATAGACGAACAAAATGGCGAAAAAAGAATGCTGCTGAAATGATGTCAAATAGAACTAATTTATTCACAGAACGTTCAGCGTCCAATCTAAATACTAATGATACACACATGACTAGTGGTGATTACGAAAATACCGATTTAGGTAGTGAAAGTATGAGTGGTGATGATTGCTTTTCTTCAGATGATGTAAGTATGGTGATACCAGAATCAGGCACTTTCCAGTTAGAACAAAATTGTCATTCAGAAGTTGTTAGTGAAAAACAGAAAAGTACGAATAAGTCCATTCCAATTACAACTGTTAGCACAGGTGCTGTTAGTTGTAACACTGTTACATTTGAACAAAATAATATTGTTCAGACCTCTATAGAAATAGGTAACACAAATAACCAGAAAACATCAACTTCAAACGATATGAATAAAGAAGGTAATTCACATAAGCAAAAACCGATGGGAGATTTGAACTTATTAAATTTCATGCCTAACTCACTAGAACTACAGCATAATTGGCACTTAAAAAATCATTACTCAAATCCTTTCAGTTTTTCGATACCATCGCACCAACTGATGAAAGCAGATCACTCTTCTTTGTTTCAGACATACGCTTTGAAACCTGCAGATTCATCCTTCAATAGTCAAATATCCGAAATATCGTGCGCAGAAACAATAGCTCATGCTTCTAATAGTAATAAGAGGAAGCACCCTTTACACAGTAGTGAATTTTCCTGTGCCTCCCCTTCATCTAAGGAATTCATCATGTCTGACGATAATGAACCAATCTCTTTACATTGTTCTAATTCCAGTAAACAAATCATATATATGAATGATAGCCTAAAATATCCCATCTCTGCCAACCTTCAAAGTCAATCTACCACATCAACAGACAATGTTATTCCGAATAATTGTCAAAAAGTTTCACCTTCAGTAGATACATCTCCTAAAAGAAACCGTAGTTTCTCAGTAACAAATTGTGTCACTAACACATCTCTAACTGATGCGAACTTTCAGTCAGTTTCAAAGTCGTACATGAATCAAAATGCTTAACTCGCCATTCCCTTTGCCATATAAAGCAAAGATTGTAGATATCAATGAAACCAATCCTTCAATTACCTGTTGAACTACTACTGTATCTCGAGGATTAAACATTATTTCCACTATCTGGTCCTGTATCTATTGAACAGGAATGAATCTATCAAGTAGACACATATGCATCGTGTCTTCTTTGTTCAACTAATAAAGCACAAAAATTTTAAATTACTAAAGAAAAAAGAATCTTATTTATTTTTGTCTTACCTGAATTCTCTTTTTGTTCACTGAAACGTAATACCGCTACTAACTTTACAACTAATTCTAACAAAGATGAAGGAAAACTATTACATCACGTTACATTCAAGGTTGCATTTAAGCTTTGATATTTAATTCCATAATTCGAAGTTTGTTGGACTACCTTTCTTTCGAAGATCCCACTTCTATCAAAAAAACTTTTGATGAATGGAGATCTGCAATTCAGTTTCACTTTGTTTTATATTTCTTAAACAGAGAATAAAAATAAACTTGTCAAAATGAAATGTTAGCCAAATAGAATATACACTGTAAACTATTAAAAATTTTAATCTAAAATGGTAGTTCATTCAAAAAGTGATGAATATGCAAAATAAACTTTGTAAATCTTTTCTCGTGGACTTTATTTTTTTTCCTGTGCAATCATTTAATGACAAGAAATGTTCAAGTAATAATACATTTTAGGATAAGCCAATGGTTTCATTCATTCACCATAGTGAATTTAAAAGGTTATTATTTGGAATACAGTTTTCCCCATGATCTGATTTTCTTCAAATGATGGTCATAATTTGGAAAGTAATAAACAGGCCGTTTTTGTAATATTGATGCTATGAGAGATGCATTTGAAGAATATACACTAATAAGTTGTTGTCCTAGCTAGAAAATTGTTTTTCTACACTTCTTTTTTTCTACTTTTTCTGAAGAGGTTATCAAGTTGTAATGAAGTCTAACCTTCAACTTCTCCCAAATTATAATAATTTATTACTGCTTAGCAGAAGGGAAACACTACCTTTGCTGAAAGTAAAAATATGACAAAACTAACTTTTTAGTGACCTGTAGATAAAGATTTGGAAGGAAAATAGTAACTGGGTAAGATAAGTTCCAGTCATATGAAATACTATGAAAAATTGTAATATATTGGTTACATAGCTTATTTCTACATTGAGCAATTCCCAAAACCTTCTTGGTATTATTATTATTATTATTAGTTGTCCCTTGGGTTCCTAGTAGAACATAGGGCTTCAGTAACACGTCTCCATTTCACTCTCTTCTCTGCTGTCTTTTCAACCTGACTCCACCAGTGCCCACAAACCTTCATTTCTTCCTCACACGATTTCCTCCATGTCACCCTCGGACACCCAACTTGCCGTTCCCCATGCGGGATCCACTCTAGACCTGGACTGGCGCATGATGCCCCCAGTCAACCCTCTCGGTGTACGCCCAATTCATCTCCACTTTCTTCTGCATATTTGTTGGATGATAGCTTCTTGGTTAGTTCGTTGCCAGCCATCCAGACTTCCTTGTTGCTTATTCTTTCTGGCCATCTGATATTAAATATCTAGTGAGAGTAGGCAGCTGTTGATGTATGTCTGTAGTTTATTGGAAATGCTTTTCGCGACGCGCCAAGTCTCTCAATCATCACATAGAAGCTCTGACTTGACTGACAGTGTTGAAAATCTGGATCTTGTTCTTTGTGCTGAGTGCTGTAAATCTCCACATTGATTTAAGACTAATAAACGTCTATCTCGCTGTGTTTCCGATCCTGGCTTAGGCGTCCTCATCTGTGCCGCCTGCAGTTAAAACGATGCTGCCTTGGTAGATGAAAGAGACTACTTCCTTTAGATTTCTCCTGTTCATTATGATTGGTGCTTTTTGCTAATGCTGTTGTTGGTTGGTTATCTTCATCACCTCCGTCTTCTCCACATTCACTTAAAGTCTTCCCTTCGCTGCCTCACCTCTGCTGCCAACCTGTTAGTTTTCACCCTTAGATCTGCGAGTCTGTGAGACGTTAGACATAAATCATCATCGGCGAAATCCAAATCTTCTAGGGTCTTTTCACCGGTCCAGCCAGTGTATGCCCATCTTCTCGCTCCTCACAGTTTGTTGCATGATCCAGTTCAGTCGACCACAATCAGGAAGATCTTCCTGGTAGTGTTTGCTGTAAAGACTCTTATCTCATGTGCAACAATGCATACTGTTGGCGTCTGTAAACTTGCACAAGTAATAGAATTACCAGTCAGATCACCATAGTTAAAAAAACTCAGAAGTTTAACTCAGCTATCCCGAATTTCTGATGACTGACTACATATTGATAACGGTTAGTCACGTCAGTGGAAAACTGGACTTAAAATACAAACATCATACATTTATTTCAATGAATCGATAGGACATCATGGACTCTTTATTCATATATATATTATCGAAGTAAATTGAATCAAGAGGGGAAATATGTTACTCCACATTACAGCAAAATAAAATGTCTGATTGGTTTCTGCTGAAATAGCCTTCAGTAATGAGGAGAAAACGGAGAATTTAGAACCTGAAAATCTACTACATCGAGTCGGATTACCGAAATTCTTATCTCTAAAGTAAGGAATCAATATGATGCAGTAAATACTAAGATGAAAAAGGAAGGCGAATGTCAGTGACAGGATTGAAATAAGATTTTTAACAAGTAAAGAGAGATAATGAATTAATAAAACATAATAATAATTGTTTACTGTGGTCCATTCCAGCTAATAGTAGTTCTGCACTTCTGAATCCTTCATGGAAATTAACCTTTATGCACACACAATCTCTTTGACATTGTGCTTTCATATCGACCAATTTCGTACCTTCAGCTAAGTAATCATAGATTTCCTCCAACCTTATCACATTAGTTACAGGGTGTTTTTTAACAAGACAAGTGATCCAAGAACTGGTACCTTTTTTCAAAAGCTGTCATACATTTGTATGGGTTTGTTATTACTTCACTGACCACCGTTCTCATAGTGCCTTCATGACTATTTTGTTAAACGAAGTAGTTAAAATCTCGAATCACATGACTCTTCTCAGAAATCGTAGCTAAAAATACAAGCTTAAACTCTTCAACCTTGTTTGGCTGTTTTGGCATTCTAAAGACTTCGGTAATGGGTAATGGCTCACGATATTTTTCTGAAATAGTTGACAACTTTTACAAAAGTAATACTTGACAATATTTCCATTTGCCACTTTATTATTTACAACCAAGTGATTCTGTAGGAAAGCCTTAAGATACTATTTGACATGCATGCACTCCACCAACCAGAGCGCGAAGTAGTTGTGAAATTATTTTCTTAGCATTGGTTTACTTTTCGGAAAATAGACGTTTAGATGCAGAATGATTAGACCCTAAGTCCTTCAGGAAGCTTGAAATCATAGGAAACATTTAGAATCGATCAAACTATTCCAAAATGTCACTAGACTATATGTGTAAATGTGTGACTCAATAAGTCCAAAGTTTTGAATACTTCTTGTCAAAGAGTTGTTCATCTATCTAATCCAAACTAAAATGAACACCGAAAAGTATTCGAGACAAAACTACTTCTACTAACAAATAACAGATCAGAAATGGTTATAGTGAATATCTTTAGCGAATGCTGATCATAGTTATCTCAGACCACACAACATCATAAACTAATATTTTGTGTAGAAAGTAGATAAGAAAGTAAGGTTCTTATGTAAGATGACTTATAGAGAATAACTGCTCCCACGCCTGTTATTTTATAGAGTCGTGAACTGGTTAAAAAAATTTATTTTATGTTGTGATCACATCCGTCTACCAGGTCTTCAGAGTCTGGCAAATAGTTCAATTTTAATCCCTTTACTTCTTGTTAGACCTTAAACTAGTATGTGTCTGTTGAGTGCACCATCTATCTTGATGGGTTATTCAAGCCTAATACTCTTCGACTGTAAGCGAATATTTTTTCCGATAACATTGAACAATAGGCTGCAAAAGTCTGGAAAAATAATCCTGTTTCTAGAGCTCTAAACTACATTTCAGACTAATTCCAAACATTTTACCGTCTATGATTAGCCTGATAACGTTTATCAGAACTACTTTTTTCTGTTTATTATTGCTAGATAACTACTTCAGCGCTGTCTGATTTACTATCCCCCTCCTCCATAATTTTTATTGGTACTCATACCTCGAAGGCTTGTCAGCTTTCTGAACTGTAATCACCCTTCACAACCTGATTTTATTATACGGTTCTTAAAAAACAGTTCACTAGATATAAGAAACAGCATAAAGGTGGAAATGTGAACAAACTTACATCTACAACACATTCTACTAAATAAATGAGAAATTCATGAAATCATTCGACAATCAAACATGACCAATTAAGTTCATTCTTATCTTGAAATTTATCTATTTAAACATTAGTTCAGTCCAGATTTTTCGTAATAAGAATTCAGTGTGATACCGTGGCATGGTAACGATAAAAGTAAATCCATAGATCTCTTAATAACCTCACAGATATGCTGACCAATAGGAGAAAACTAATAAAGTCTGAGTGCAAACAACAAAAATTGGGCCATTGCTTGCCAATTCGCATTACATGTTAATATATAAAACCATATGCATAAGTGATGTTGAAGTGGAAAAAAGTGAAGTAGAGCATAATTTTATACAACGAGAAACTGGGTATAAAGCAAAAAGCTGAGTATGTTGAAGTGTGTGAGAAACCAAATATTTGCTTCTGGATGGTCAGTGCCTCTGTTATAATGAGTACCTTTATAAAACTTAATGAATTATATCCTAAAGCACAGACCAACAGTAACTTTAGCAACGATGGGTGGGTAAAACTAATTTATTTCTTGTAACATCAAGGTATTTATACCATGAGCGCATTGGTAGAAATGATCCTAACGATACGAAAACCGAGGAAGGTGCACGCAAGACCATAAAGGAAGCTGCCTTTTTCTGGGGATTTAAACCTGTGTTATAAGACGTTGAGTAGCTTTCTCCTAAAGTCTTTTGTCTAAAACAGAATAATCCAGGTTTGAATCTTTAAAGGAACATGAAATCGCTCAAGGTTTTGAATACATCTTGTGGATGAGCCACAACAGACATTAAATATAATTTTAGGGCTTACTAATGACCGAATCCTTCTAATGGCTGAAGTTCCCATGGTGTCAAAAAGTAATGCTCAAGTTATATTCTCATTATCTACATTTGATGATATGCAACAAATAATTCAAATATCAAAAGAGGTTAGGTTGGATATTTTGACGGTCTTGCATTCTACGAGATGAATGTTCCCAGTGTTTAACAATCACTGGTTTTAGACGGCAAACTTTGTAGTCTCCAAAAGCCCTTTCCATAATTCGCAATGAGATTGTTCATATGACGGTTATCTCGATATCCAAACATCAAGTTCATAAGACTTGATAGACTAATAGCCTCCTACTTCATCTTCAGATATCCCTATCATTGTTGTAAGTTGTTGACTTCATACCTTTTGTAACTATGAGTGATCTTTAACATCTTAATTCATAACTTCAATCTGTATTCATTACTTAATGCACCATTTTTTCGAAAAACTAAAAACAATTAGTTTCACTTCGTTTGTTTTGACTCTCCTTCTGAACAAACATACATTCCACTTTGCCTTCAGTGACTAAGTCCTACTAACCCACTCCTTCTCAAGAAAATTTAAAGAGAAAAGTCATTTCATAAGAACGATTCAGAAACCATTCGTTGTACACAAATACTACTATGGTAAAAACTCTTGTCCGTATATGAAAAAACAGAGAAATTGTTAAAGTCAGACATTTTACGTATCTGTATTGAGTGATCTTACTTTCCATGCAACGAAATACATAAAATAATCGTTATTGCTATTCAGATACACTGGCGAAAGTCGTCAGTCTTTGTAACACTATTACTGATTTCATAGTTATCCTTTAATGTATAAAAACAACTGCGGACTCATTTGCAATTAACATCAAGGCAATTCTCAACAGTAAGTTTATTTAAGGAATAACAATTTAATATGCGCTTTAACAGGAGTC